AATTCTCTCTCTCCTCCCTCTGTCCCCCCACCTGGCTCCTATGCACAAACACGCTCTAAGGAAAAAAAAAAAGTACAATTAAAGTATTATTTACCTTGATTACTGTGGTTTTTGGCACTTTCTTAAGTTTTGCACCCAAGGCAAATGAGTCACTAGTCCTGGCCCTGACAAAAGCCTTGGGAACAGTTATCAAAACTCAGTTAACAGTATTTAATGCCTATGGGGAGATTCATATTAAAGGCAATCATGGCATCTAATTGCCTGGCAGATAAGTGACTTCATAATGGAGGATGGGTTGGGGCTGCCAGAGAGACACAGAGTAACACAACGGGAAACGTGAGCTGTTTCATATAGAGGAGTGAAAGAAATGTTAAAGAGTGATTAAATACCAGCCATGACCTAGTAGAGTTATAGCTGAGGTTGGTAAGTGACTCAAAGAACAAGAAGTAAAATAAATACGTTTTTAGAAACATCTACACAGAACACAATCTGACATTTAAATGGGAAGCTTTCAATGACTACATAAACAAGGCACTCCAATGCTTGATTCACCTGTCATTTGATTTGAAGCTCAGAAGTCTGCAAAGCAGACAACTAATGCTTTTCCTTGCAATTAGCACAAAGTAGTAAAACCAGGGTCTACACTAACGTTTTCAGTGAAAAATTTCTATGGTCATTAATTAACATATATTGAATGCTTTTATTCCAAGAATTATGCTAAGCACTAATTTTTAAATTACAAGTTAATCAGATACAGAAGGCAAATCAAAATGAATTATTTTAAAGTGGACACTATCCAGGTCAAGAAATAAAACTTTGCCAGTCACTCCAGAAAATGTCTTTGTGCTCCATCCCAATCACAACCCTCTCCCTCCCACTGTAATTTAACCATTACCCTCCCTTTCACAGTAATCACTCCTTTGTGGTTTTAAGAGTTTTGTCATCCAAACGTGCATTCCTAGATGGCTTTTAAAAGTTGAGGTCTTGAATGTCTTTTAAACTATTTGTCCCTTCTCCATCCTTCTTTTCCTTTCAGTTTTTCTTTCGAAAAATCTTGGCCCTTTGACCTATTGAATTTCCCACAGTCTGTATTTTCCCAATTATACAGTCCTGGTGTGTTACAATATGTTCTTCTGTATTTCCTGCCAATAGGCAGCTAGATCCAGGAGACTAGATCAGACTCAGGATTGATTCCTTTGACATACCTATAGGTAATGAATGTCTCTGCAATCTTCATAGCTATTGCTGTTTAATACCTAATTCAGTAAGGACTGCAAAATAATTATCTTCACTGATTAGTCAGAATACTAATATATAGAAACACTTCCCCTCGGGCTCCTGGGTGGCTCAGTCGTTAAGTGTCTGCCTTCGGCTCAGGTCACGATCCCAGGGTCCTGGGGTCGAGCCCCACATCGGGCTCCCTGCTCTGCAGGAAGCCTGCTTCTCCCTCTCCCACTCCCCCTGCTTGTGTTCCCTCGCTCGCTGTGTCTCTCTCTGTCAAATAAATAAAATCTTTAAAAAAAAAAACAAAACACTTCCCCTCATCTATTTGGTTACCCAGTGGTACAGTTCATATAAGGTAGGCAGGATAAATGCTTTATTCTTTCACTTTATTTTCCAGTTAAGAAAATGACCTGGTTTCTTGTCATCCTCTTAAGGTGACCGATTTTTAAAATATCATTAAGGGGCGCCTGGGTGGCTCAGTCGTTAAGTGTCTGCCTTCAGCTCAGGTCATGATACCAGCGTCCTGGGATCGAGCCCCGCATCGGGCTCCCTGCTCAGCGGGGAGCCTGCTTCTCTCTCTCCTACTTCCGCTGCTTCTGTTCCCTCTCTCACTGTGTCTCTGTCAAATGAATAAATAAAATCTTTAAAAAAATAAAATAAAATATCATTAAGAACTTTTATGTTTAACATATTTGGTATGTTCCAGTCTGCTGCAATTATCATCGTTGAGACTCAAATTGTTCCATCTTTGACCAATGGGAATCTCTTCAAGATGGCTCCTGAGTTCTTCTGACATGGCCCCAGTAGTCTGATAGCTTCTTTGCTATCTGGTATGACAAAACGATATAGGCTCATCTTGAACATCTCCTGCCCAGACCTGGAATCCAGTCATTTCTCCACAAAGCTGCTTGGTTTTTTTAAGTGAGAAACGGCACGTCAAGACCACAAAATGCGTGCTAAGAATATTGTTTCTAGGACTTTTCAATGGAGAGAGCTGGGAAATATACACATATATTTAAAGATAAAACACCTGAAGTTATATTGATACTTCCAATTCAAATTTGAGACCATAAAAACTTTTCTTTAGCCTTATTATATCCATATTACCTTTCTTCCATACTTAGACTCCTGGTTTGCAAGGGCACAAGGGGATAAAATTAGAGTATCCCATACTCACTCATTTGTTTTAGCCGACATTACACAGTCTCAGAATAACAATCTGATTATCTAGATAAAAGAACCTCATGTGATTATTGAGAGGATTAAAAAATGCTTGGCATATGGTCTCTCAACCTCTATTTTTAAGAATAGCCATACAATATCCACATTGTCCAAACATAAAGTTATTGCTATTACATAGTGTATTCTCCACCTCTTAGCCTTCATTGTCTTAATTATGTAATTATACATTTAATACTTACCACCAGGTCTTCTTTCGATGTCTTTGTTTTGGTAGTCTAAAAGTCAACTCATTCTCTGGAACACTGATGTCCATCTAATACAACTTTCCGTGATGGCAGAAATATTCTGTATCTGTGCTGTCCAATACACTAGCCACTGGCCACATGTGGCTATAAGCACTTGGCATGTGGTTGGTGCAATTGAGCAACTGAAGATTTTATTTAATTGTAATTAATTAAAACTTAAATTGTCACATGTGGCTAGTGATTACCTTGCTTGACAGCATAGTTTTAGTAGATTCTTCAGGAAGGGCTCATGCAAGTAATATTCTCTGAATTCTTACTGCCTTTTAAGCTTGAAAATCAGTTTTGGTGGAATCTAAAATCTTTGTTTTACACATTCCTTATTTTAAATGTTACTCCATTTTCTTCTAGCATAAAGAACTGCTGTTAAAGTTTGATGATTATCATTTTATTTATTTTACACTCCATAGACTCTTTTATCTAGATAATCAAAGGACTTGCTTTTTTTTTTTTTTAAACTCTGGTCATTTTACTAGAATTATTTTGGTGTTGGCTGTTCTGGGTCAATATTCTCAGGTATGCAGAGTGTTGTTTCAGTATATAGTTTTAAAGTTTTTTAATTTCAGGAAAAGTTTTCTGAATTATAGTTTTCAGTATTTGTTCTTTTCCCTTACTTTGGTTTTCTTCTTCAGAGACTTCTATCACTGTTTGATCTCCTTTGCCTAACTTTAACAAGTCACTTTTGAATCTTTATCTTCCTTTTTCTTCATTTTAGATTCTCCCTCCTTCTTATATGTTTCTTTTAAAGCATTATCTGTTGTATATACTTGGTCATGTTCTTTATAGTTTAGTCTTCGTAACTGAAATGATTTTCTGCCATTTTTAATGCTTTTCTGTCACTTCATTTGAGTTTTTCTAATTCTGATTTGTTATTCTTTCTAAGATTTTTAATTCCAGTTACTCTTTAAATGTTTTGTATTGTATTATTTATATCTTTAGCTCATTCTGAAATAGCTGTTAGTTTAGTTGGCACATTTCAGTTGGCACATTTCTGACATGTTTTTACTGTCTATAGGGGTATTATTCTTTTTTGTTCTTAAAACATCTTTGCATAGGATTTCACCTTAGTGCTTTTCCTTTGTTACGTGAAATTTTTTTCATGAACTTTAAAATGAGGTGGATATAGGGTAGTTTTGTTTTTGTGTAGTGTTCAAAAACATGACTGCTTTCCAGGATTCCATGGCTCTGTTCTCCTCTGCTTTGGTCTGGACATGTTCTTTTCCCAATCCCGATCAATTCTGATTCCACTCCCAGTAGTTTCTCCCCAGTGAGGAATACTATCTTAACAGGGAGCCCTGGCAGGTCACTTTTGAGGGTTCTTAGGGGCCAGATTGCTCCAAGCCCTTCAAGTCCCTTTACCAGGTACCCAAAGCACTCACCTAGTACTGGAGAGATCAAATCCCTTCCCAGTCTTAGCTGCTCCTTCCAAATTGGCTGCCCCACTTTCCAGTGAATTCTTATTAGCTCTTTTGGGGTTCTTCTGTTCTCAGGTCCATCAGACAACATCCCCGATGCTTCCGTCTTCTTGCTCCCACATAGACCCTGATAGCATGCAGGTCTTGTGACTGGTGGTTTGTCCCTAACTGCTTAAGTTTTGGGGTTTGTGGGGATACCTTGTCACCTAGTTTCACTGTAAATGTTGTCCATGGGTTTTGGTTTTGCTACTTCCATTTTTGAGGATTCAGATTAAATAGCTATGTTGTTGTTGCCACCACCTTCCCAGAATTCTGAGAATTCTAAATTATATTAACTCATTGGAATTTCATGACCACTTTATAAATTACTACCAGTACCCCCAAGAGCTCATAGGTAAGAAAGGCTAAATAACTTGTCCAAAATTACAGAGGTAGTGAGTTGTAAAACCAAAATTCTAACCTAAGTTTCTTACATCCTAGAGCCTATATTCTTTCTTACAACATCCATGGGAAAATGATTCATCATACAGAAATGTATTTTACAGCAAACTTTTCAGGAATTCTGTGAAGCGTGAAACCTCTACTTTAATTCCTATATAATAAAACTTAAAGTTTAACTAGTAAAGTCCTCTAAATTTTCAGTAAGGTAGCAAAACAATAGCTACAAAATCATATCAAAGCCAAATTTACAAGAAAAAAATTGAAACCCTGGCCCTGAAATCTCATGGATTCCTCAAATACATACTTTATTAAGTAGGTTAAACAAATTTAATACTAAAAATTAAAGTAATCCTATCTAATCACTAGAACTGTTATATGTGCATGTTCATGAACAGGAAAAGAGGCTTCCCAAAGTAAGCAACCACCAATAACCTACCTGGCCTGCCTTGTACAGGTGGAGACACAAATAGAGGCTGTATAGCATTCTGTGAGGAAACTGAAGTGGTACTACTAGCTTGATTAGCTGCTGCACAATTAGGTAAGACTGCAGCTGGAACACTATTGGCACAAGAAGCTGCAACTGCTGTAGAATTTCCCATCATCTGTAAGTGTAGAAGAAAAGTTTAGAAAAGTTTAGTGATTTCTCAAACACTGTTAGTCTCTTATCTGATCCTAAGTTTCAAGATATAGTATTTGGATAACTAAAATACTGACAAATCAATCTTTATGTAAACCGTATATAAGGTTATTTCTTTTAAAAGACCACAATTAACTTTAAGATCTTCATTTTTAAATTTATTTTTCTGAAAAATATATGATTCAAAAACCAAGTATAAAATTGTGTACAATGAAATGTTTCCTTCCAATCCCTATCTTCCATCTGCCTAGTTCCCCTCCCCTCTCCCCGAACAGGTAACCTCTGGATTTCCTACATATTATCCAGAGATTGCTATGTTTGTTTTTACATGTGGATACATTTCCCCACGCTAACACATACTTTTTTTTTTAACAGAAAAGGTGCTTTGCTTTTTTGTGTGTAAACTTCATGGGACTGCAATTTGTTTTTCTGATGAGGCTGCAGCACCCAATACAGCACTGTGCACAGAGAGATGTTCACTACATAGTTAACAGACACTTCTTGAACATGCTGCTCTCAATGCAGTCTCCATTTTCTTACCACACACTGCCGTGTAGCTGCTACCCACTCCAGTCCTCAGAAACTGTATTCAAAGTCACCAGTGGTCTTCATGGCAACAAATCCTAATAGACTCTTGCTAGTCCTAATAGACTCTTGCTAGACTCTTGCTTGACCTCTTGGCAGCAACTGACACTTGACTTCCTTGAAACATTCTCTTCCTGGGGCTCCCATAGTAATACACTCTCCTACTTTTCCTCTCTCCTTAACTATTCCTTCCCTATGCATTTGCTAAAATTTGGTGATCTACAGGCTCTGTTCTGGATGCCCTCCTCAATCTCTTCCTTTCCCCAGGATTATCTTATTCGCTCCCATGGTTTCAGCAACCTTTCTGACACTAGCTCCCTATTCTTTACATTTCAGTTTCAGTACATGAGACACATGACCAGTAATTTATATTAATTCACTCGTTATACAAGAGATTTGGAACAGAAGGACTATGAGTAGTCAAACGCCAGCACATAGAACAATGTCTGCAACACAGTAGATAATCGATTTGTTGAATGAATTTTACTGATCACTGTGCCAGGCACCACAAAGTGCAATAATACTTAAATATGATGAAGGACAAGGAGAACAAAAAGAAAAAAGTCATTCCCCCCACCCGTGTGATTGCTTGATAACACTATTAAGATTACCTTCTGGGGGTAGTTGTATGAGGTAACTGTGTCCTGAGGAGACATAGAACATGGTCCTCTGTCCTGAAGAGACTTTAAGGAATACAGAAGTATAGTTAAGTAAGGGTAAATCAAGAAACCAAACATATCAATAAAAGATCTGATTTGTTCCAACATCTCCTAAAATTAAGTGAAAAGTGATCTGTCCTGAAAGTGTTCAGATTTGGAAGCAACTACTAAGATAACGTTCCAAAAGGTATCACTCCAGTGCCTGATTTAGGTGACTATGCTATTTCCCATCTACAGAGAACCTAATCGTATCCAATTCTAGTCCAATGTAGATACTAAAAGGTAGTGGAAGATTATAATTTAAACACTTTTTCAGTGGCCTTTCTTGCCTTAAAAGCTTCAAATTTAGTAGGACCAACAACAGTTTTACTAAACAAAAGCATTCCATCTAAAAATGTAGCTTGGGATAAGGGTGGATATCTGGTTATTCAGCTGTATCCTATCTAAGCAGGATGGAGTATAATCCAAACACGACTCCCCTCTGGCTTAAGGTCTTCTTTGTGAAAGCAAAAATGATTTTTAAAGGGCTCAGTTATACATGACAAATTGTCATGACAACAAAAACAAAAAACCTAGCAGAAATTGGTTTAACAATGGTAAGAGCACAGAGGGAATCAAGGAAAGTAATCACAGAGAACAAGAGGAATCATATTGTGACAAAGATGAGCCCAACTTACCATGGATTGCATATTTCTATTAGCAATAATCGCTCCTCGGATAAACCTCACTGGCTACGATACTGCCACTGCACATTTCTAAAGTCAGTTTTCAAGTACAACCAAAGCACCTGCCAAAAAGTAAACTTTGGCTTTGACTCAGGGGGCCCAGTGTGAATGCTAAACAATTCTACAGAAGGATTTAGTTTAGAGTTGGGCATAGAAATAAATAGCAATAAATATTTATAGGGTTTTTTTTGTTTTTTTTTTTTTTTAGGAGGCTCTGTGCCTGGACATCTGTTAAGTCCTGCACTGGTCCTCTACCCACAGCATGCTGTGAAAAAAATTACTTAGAAACTTGCTATAGATTTGGTGACTGGGGAGTGGGAGTGGAGCACATCCTGAAGAGACTGAAAGCTACTGGGGATGGATAAAGTAAGTTCAGAACAAAAATGAACATGTGACAAATGAAATTAAAGGGACAGAAAGAAATTAAGTATCGGCTATTTCAAGAAATGGCCTAAGAAGCATATGATGAGAATAGTAATGGCAGAGTGAGAAGAAAAACTATTTCTCTAGAAGGGAAAAGGAAAGGGAAGGAGATATAAGGAGAAGAGAAATCACGTATCATAGTTTTCTTCATTCCTAAGATGTACTGCCTAAACAGTGTTAACAAAAATTTAGTATGTGAGGTCAAGATTAACCATAATTAGAGAACAGAGGGTTGTTATTCAAGTTCTTACAAATATTCTAGTTCTCCTGGGTACATGGCAAGTTGTTCTTCCTGGCCCCATCTAAAGTTAGGTGCGGCCCCCTGACTTATTTGGTATGAGCAGAAATATTAAAAGCCAGTGTTCAATTACCCTATCTTTGGTCCTGCAAAGTGACTGTGAAAGCACACATGTCCACCAGCCTGGGTCCCCCGAGTGACTATGATGAACAAAAGCCTGCTACCAACCTACACTAGACATAGAACATGAGCAAGAACAACTGTCCTGTGTTAAGCTGCTAAGATTTGGGGTGGGGGGGTGTTACTACAGCATAACTTAGCTTGACTGAAACAGTAATTTGGTAATCAGAAGTAGGGTGCAGTGCTACTGTAACAAAAACCTAACTTGAAAAGGAGAGAATGAATTTTTGTCTCTTAGGGGAGATTTGGAAAACAATGTTAGTTCTGTGTTTTGATTACTGTTGGCAGAGTTTAGCAACGTTTTTTAAGATAGATGTGTACAGGAAAGGAGTTTGTAGGTAGGAATGAAAAGGAATAGAGAATCCTTGAATACAGGGACTTACAGGGTTGAAGACACAATTGCTTCAACCCCAAATTGTAAAATATAAAACTGATAAATACTTTGGACAACAAAAAGCAGTTAAAACTTGGGTTTGAAGCAAAAATCAAATTGTTAAAATCTGATTGCATTAAGATATTTCAAAGCAAGAGTCCAACTAAGAATGCAACACCCACTGAATCCTTGCAATTGCACAAAATGGCTCATGGAAAAGCCTCCAAAAGTATGGCTCCTCCATCCCTGATAAGGTCAAGGTACTTGCAATCAGAGAGACACAGGAATAAGAAAGGAAATTATAGCAAATCTAAGTAGTATATCTATAAAAAAAAAAGAATTGTCAGTATGGCTACTGGCATATGAAACTAAGAGGAATCAGAGAGAGAAGCAGAATAAATTAATCACGCAGCCAAAGAAACTATGAGCAGAACTAAAACCATCCAACTGAGATAAAACGACCCCTGGGCTCCCAATTTTCTCCAAGTAAGAAGCAGGCTGAGAAAGCTGCTCAGCTGCCAAGAAGGATTATTCCCCAAAGCCTACTTCAAATATGGCCAAGGAACAAAGGGCCTTGGAGCAACCAAGAGCCCCAGAAACAATGAATCAGAGAGCCCCTCCAGGGGACAATCCCCATGCCTAGGTTGGGGGCCCTCACAATGTCTGTCCATGACGTCAGAATTGCTACAGGCCATTAACTATTTCTCCCATTTTCCCCCCTTTCTGAATGGGAATTTTTACTGCCATCTTTCAGTCCCTCCTCCACCATTATAAATTAGGTATGTAGCAGTTAAATAACTTTGTCTCTTTGGTTTTAGGCCTCCAGATGAAGATGAGCCACGTCTGGACCCAATGCACAGAGTACTACACATTTCCCAGAAACCTTGGGCTTTGAGTTTAATTATTACACTGAATAAGATTTTTGGATTGCATCCCTTGAGGTGGAATCAAGTCTTTTGCCTGTGGGAGGGAGTGAGTTGAATGTTGTGGTCCTTAGTGCTGTTAAAATATTTCCAACTTTTTGACTTTCAGACACATATAAGTTAATACTTCAATGGAACATATTCTGGCTAATGAGAAAGAAAGTGACAGGTGTCATCTCCAGGTGGAAGCTGTAAGAGCCAGGGTACCATTCACTACCTTTTGGTTCCTTCCTTGGCAACCATGAATGGAGCTTCTATCAGCCTGAGTCCCTGAGCAGAGCCCTCCTGTAGACCTCCACTGGATATGAAGCATAACCGAGAAACAAACTTTTGTTATATGAAGTAACTGAGATTTATGACCCATTCTTACCGAAAAATCATAATAAAATCCTCTAAATAATCATCACTGCCACTGTCTGAATTTCTTCTTGTATCAACACATTAGGAGTATCATTAAATAGATTAATTTCAGGTTCTTAATTTCATCTACAAAATGGGAACGAAGCCCTAACTACCTCATAGGATTATTCTGATTTAAATACATTTATATGTATCACTCTTAGAACAGTGCCCTAGTACACAGGAGATATAAAGTGCTTGCCATTTTTATTAAATACCTACCAAGTTTGCTGTAGATTCAGTTGTGCTATAAACACCTGACGTTTCATAGTCTGGTTCTAGAGAATATAGCCAAAGTAAAGTAAAAAATGAGCATTATTTTATAATTTAAAATTGTATAAACGATGATGAATGTCAGATTATATCTAGATCTCACTGACCTGAAGGATAAATATATTCTTCATGATATCTCCCTACAAAAAAAAGACAGAAGAAGTGTTTATGTAGGGCTTTTTAGCTCAGCAGAGCCAGATGGCCAGCACTTGCTTTTTCTCAACGTTTATGGATATATATTCAGAACTAAAACGTATACATCCTTGAAACAAGTGATTTGAACTTTCATACTAGTCAACATATTGAAGCCAGATACTGACTGTAAACAGGACAAATTTCTCCTCTGAAAATTCCCTTAGTTCTTAAAGGTTCAGACAGAGGTAAAAACCCAGTTGTATCCAATTTTTCCAGTCAAGCAGTGGAATATGGTGATTGAGTTCACTGGCTCTAGAGTTAGGGCTGTCTACATTTGAATCCTGATTAACATCACTTTAGGTGGGTTATTTAATTTTTGTGCCTCAATTTCTGCATGATAAAATAGGATAACAGTACCCAGATCATAAGGGGGTGAAAAGAACATAGCACAATATATAGTAAATGGTGTCTGTAAAGTAATTGGAGTATAACCCATATTATGCTTAGATGGACATTAAAGGGGTATATCATGCCTCATCTGTTTCTCAGCCTGTTTTAAGTAAATAATATTTTTTAAAATTGGTTTGTTCTCAGAGGATGGCTCAGTGATCTAAAGTATTTTGCTGTTAAGACTATACTATACCATTGAAATGCAGAGAAAGTTAATCATCAACTGGACAGTTTTCCATCAAATAAACCCCACGGATCAAAACTGGATTTGATTCTTAAACATGTCACTTATCAACCACATACATGCAACCACTCCAGACAGCAGGATTTAAGTTAAGAACAAAGATTTGGTTACTTTGAATATGCCACTACAGGTGAGCAGTACATCTGAAGGTACCCACTAAGCTAAAGGGAAAAGACAAAAGGGTCATGCTGAGTAAAAGAGCAGAGAGTATACGCCCTTGAGCACATGCATGCACATGCATGGGGACAAAGTCTTCACAGGTCATTCTTGTGCTAAATGTTTTGTCCTCATTAAATTCCTAGAAATACCTATTTTCTTCTACACATGTACAAAGAAAAACATCACAAGAAAATAAAGAACTTGACTATTATGTGAGACTGCCTCATACCTCCTTAATCCACCCAATTCCTCCAGAATTGTTTCAGTAGAACTGTCTGTCACTCATACATTTTACAGTAAAATGGTAAAAACAAGCACACCCCATGTGAGAGGCACCACAGCAACTGTTAAGGACATACATACTGACTTTAGTGTCAGACAAACCAAATTCAAAATTGACCTCTGCCAATCACAAAGGACCGTATATTGCATGATTCCACTTATATGAAATGTCCACAATAGGCAAATCCATTAAGATAGAAAGCAGACTTGTGGTTGCCTAGGGCTGAGGGGGGGGATGGGGAATGGGGAGAAGCTGCTCATGAGTACAGGATTTCTTTTTGGGGTGATAAAATGTTCTAAAATTGATTGTGGTGATGGTCATGCAACTCTGTGACTGTATTAAAATCATTGAACAGGTGACTTTTAAACCCTTTTTAAACACGTGAATTACACCATATGTGGATTATATCTAAATAAAACTGTTATAAAAAAGTTAAATCTCTGCCACTTACCAAAGGGTATGACTTTGGCCATGTCATGTACCCTTTGAACCTCAATTTCCTTATAAACAAGGAATCCATATTCCTTAGAGGGATGCAGTTAAGTATCATATTAAATTATAAATATAGTTCTTTAGTACAGTGGATGACCAATAGGATACAATGAACAGTAATGTTATAAGTAGACTTCTTTGGGCAACGAAATTATTTTCGTAATAGCAGTCTCATAAAATAGTCTCACAAAATAGCAGCTAGTCACAGAAAAGCCCAAAGCAGTTCTACAAACAGTCCTCACCATAACATAAATAGTGCCTTCCTAACAAGGAATGGGTATTTTCCATAATAAAATCTCACCAAATCAAAATTCACTAGAAGACCTAGTGAGAGAGCTGAAAGTAAACTGTGACAATGTGGTGTCCTATAGAAGTCCGTCCTTCTGAGAAAGACCAAGACATCTTCAAACGCCTAGCAAGCTCTGAGACAAGAACTGATAACTCGTTCAAAATGAGCTACCAGAACAGTGTGAGATCCCCTCAAACCAAAACTTTAAATCTACTTCACAGCCCTGATGTGTTAATGCCACAAGAATCATCTTTTAAAGAAACATTTAACTGTAATTGACTCACCATTGTCACTCTGGCCACTGCCCTCCTCTGAATTCAAAGTCTGTTTGCCCGACCTATGTCCTCGCCTTGCAACACAATATCTCGAAGCAGAAGGAACCATTGTAGAGGGCCCTCCATGATTCTGTACCAAAGACACGCACATAGACATGCAGTTCAGGAAAAAAAGCTATAAATATATCTTAATGTATTTTAGAATCAAAAAACATGAGAAAACGATCAAGAAAACAGAAAATATTAGCCCATACTATGTAAGGCAAGATTATTGGTCCACCTCTACCCCTTTTCTCTAATAGCTTTAAAAAGTTCTCCTCTCCCATCTTTTAAAAGCTCTAAGATAAAAATTCATGTTTTCCAGAAGTGCTTTATTTGGTGGTTTGTCAAAACCTAAAATCTATCCACACTGCCTTTACTTTAAAGAAAAAAAGAGAGAAAGTAAACAGCTTTTTTGAATAAATCTTTGACCTACTTACAGGTAAAGTTGGATAAGCAGTCTCATCCCCTTCTTCAACTTCATAGAAGGTAATGGTTTCTTCCAAGCCCCTGGGCATCTGTCCACTCTCTGGGGCAAAGCTATACTGGCACTCCTTATTCATACAATGCATCTGGCGGTGACTACGTCTAAAGGAACTTAAGTATTAAGTAGTTCAGAGAAAAGGGGAAAAAATGGTAAAATTTGGTGGTAACAGTTCTAATTTCTAAGTAACAGTTCAAACATCTCTGTGTTGACACTTCTAAAAACTTTAATCCATGTTTATTTGTTGCTCAGCAATGAAGCCAAACTTACCCATTTTCTGATTTTCAACATTTAAAATTCACTTACCGAGATCTATAGGAGAAGTTATCATAGCTCTGGCAACATCTTTTACCTGGGCCAGGGTAAAAACCAACTTTAGGGCCCTCCATGTTATGCCTGTTTATAAAGCGAGATGAATCCCTAAGAATGAAGAGAAAGGAAAACAAAACTCTTTATTCACTAGTGCTTGAGTCGTCAATCTTTATACTTAAATAGAATTAACACATCTTTCTAAAATTGTCCTAATAGAGGGTAACTGGGTGGCTCAGTTGGTTAAGCGACTGCCTTCGGCTCAGGTCATGATCCTGGAGTCCGGGGATCGAGTCCCGCATCGGGCTCCCTGCTGAGCAGGGAGTCTGCTTCTCCCTCTGACCCTCCCCCCCTCATGCTCTATCTCATTCTCGCTCTCAAATAAATATTAAAAAATAGATAAATAAAAAATAAAATTGTCCTAATAGGGGCGCCTGGGTGGCTCAGTTGTTAAGCATCTGCCTTCAGCTCAGGTCATGATCCCAGGGTCCTGGGATTGAGCCCCGCATCGGGCTCCCTGCTCACTCTCCCACTCCCCCTGCTTGTGTTCCCTCTCTGTGTCTCTCTCTGTCAAATAAATAAATAAAATCTTTAAAAAAATAAAATAAAATTGTCCTAATAGAAAGAGCTGTACTCTCCTCACTACTGGCATTAGGCCTATCCATTATTAACTGATAGAGAGCAAAATACATGGCACTCAACTTGATAGCCCTAGCATGTCTTCAACCATTCCATATTTCCTTAGACAGTGAGAATACAAATCTCCCAATAAATTCATTTGACAAAAATTTAAGTATACATCGGTTCCATCCTCTATGCAGACATTACAAAAGGGAGCTAAACTGCTAAGACATTTCTAAATTCTACTGTAATTCTGTCCAGGAATTAGTCACAATACATAAACAGAGGGGCGCCTGGGTGGCTCAGTCGGTTGAGCCTCTGCCTTTGGCTTGGGTCATGATCCCAGGGTCCTGGGATGGAGCCCCGCATTGGGCTCCCTGCTCAGCGGGGAGCCTGCTTCTCCCTCTCCTCCCTGCTCATGCTCTGCCTCTCTCTCTCAAATAAATAAAATCTTAAAAAAAACAATAATACATAAATAGAGATGTACATTATCTTGAAAGTCAGTTAAGCTTTACCTGGGCATCCCATATCCCCGACCTTGTCTCTGAGATGCATGTTGAGGATGAAAATGTTCATTAGACATAATACTGCCAGCTGTCGGTGGGTAGTGCATTGGAGGGTCATGCCCATAATGCATACTGTGCTGAAGCCTGGGCGGGAGGAGGGCATCTCCCCTGCTGTAAGCCATAGTCATATAAACCTCTTTTCCTCTAACTTTTTTGAACATCTTCTTCCGTTGTTTCATGTCCATCTCTGACACAGCTTCCAGGCAAACAAAGAAGCAGCCAAATAAGCTTCATAACCAAAGCAAAAGATCCAGTCCTCCCCTCCCCCAAATGCCTACAACTTCTTTTTTAAGGGAACAAACCAAATAAAAACAGGGAGGGAATTTCTGTATTCCTTAAGGATGTATTAGATCTTCCATTTGGAAGGGCAAAACCAGCAGGTAATTTCCATATCAATGGACATCTAAGAACTATCTTTAATACAGGTGGCTCTGATCATCAAAACATAGTTGGTCAGTCACCTACATTACCTATTTTCCAAGAAATTATGCCTATTAATGTCACTGGCTGCTTCTAAGAGGGGTTTTCCTAGTTCCTCGAGAAATCTATTCCCTTGAAGTTTTAGAGTCTAAAATCCACTCCAGCTTAAGTTTATTACGGAGTCCCCTAGAACAGTGGTTCTCAACCACAGGTAATTTTGCCCTTCCCCACCTTGGGCACATTTGGCAATGTCTGGAGACGTTTCTGGTTGTTGCAACTGTGGGGAAGGATGCTACTGGCGTCTAGTGAATAGAGGCCAGGGATGCTAATCAACCTACAATGCACAGAATGCACAGGACAGCTGCCCACAACAAAGTTACTATCCATCCCAAAATGTCAGTAACGCCTAAGTTGAAAAACTCTACCAGAGAACAAGACTTATCTATGTTGTCTGTTTTTTCTTTTTAAAGATATAAATACAAGAAGGGGGCTATAATAAAAACCTTCAGCATACAAACCCATTTCTGGGACATAGCCCCCGGAAGTTTTCTGGTAACCTCTTCCTTTCCGACTGGGCATAGCATTCCAGGCAGGAACAGGTGTGACTTGGGTAACTGGTTTTAAGTTAGCCAGCGGAACCACATGCCTTAAAGTTAAAGACACCACCATAAGCCACTGCAACACAGACTTAATTCTCACTGGATATACATACCCTCACCCATCCTGCTTCATTTTCAAGTGTATTCTACTTAAACTTGTTGACACTAGCTACCCTATTGAGGTTTTCTTTTTAGGTTAGAAAACCTAAGAGTAGTTTGTACAATTTTACAGCTATTTGTAGCACATATCACATTCCAGAGGAAATACTGTTGACAGAGTAGTCTACAAATATTTGTTGCCTTTCCTTGGAAGAGGATTGTATTTTCCCACCCAACTGACTTCAGGCTCAGCTATGTAATCCACTTTGGCCAATAAAACGTGAGCAGTTGCTTTAAGAACCAGCACATGGTTGATCATGTTCATTTCTTCCCTGTGATCATGGAAGACTGTGTCTAGATAAAGCCTTTGTTGGCCTGGGCCCCCCTTTGCTGATGCACTATGAAATGCTAAATGAGCAAGAAATGAACTTTATTGTTTTAAGCTGCTGAGATTTTTTTGGTTATTGTAAGGGCAGCATAAGAAAGTTTAATGGTTCTTCAAGTGGACCAACAGCATCAATATCACCTGGAAACTTGTCAGACGTTCAAATTCTTGGGCCCTACCACAGACATACTGAAATCAGAAACTCTGGGGATGGAACTCATCAATCTGTTTTAACAAGCTCTCTAGGTAATTCTGGGGCATGTTAAAGTTTGAGAATGACTAGGCTAGTTTATCTTAATATAGGCAGAGGCTCAGTCAGCAAACTAGCTTTCCAATTAGTATGAACAGTTTTATACCAGAATTCTGTTGTATTTAATATTTCTAGTAAACTGGCTAGGGCCTAGGGATTTGGAAACTATTGATATATAGGAGTATTGAGATTTCATACTTCAGCATGTGCTTTTAACAATCAGCGGTAAGTCATCTTACCGCAACTGAATTTCTTACTAGCATCTGGTAATTCTGGTAATTCTCAATTTAATATTACAAAAGGCATCAAGAGCCAAAGATTTTAGTAATTTAACAAACCATAGTATTCTTACTTTTCTGCCAATTCTTCAATGAAGACTGTTACTGAATTGTTCTCATTTCCAACTTCCTGAATATGAGCATTATAGTATCTTCCACCTGATTCCAAGCGAACCTGAAAGAGGACAGGAGATGGTAAAAATACGTCCAATCTCCAAATCTACTGACAGATATATCTTCTGCCAAACAAAAATACAACTTCTCCCCAAACGGAGTTCAGTATCTACTTACTAAAGCGGTTGATAATCAACACTGCCATCCAGTCTGATTTAATAGAGGTGACACATGCTGGAAGATCCTTACATTTTTTTTTTGGAAGATCCTTACATCTTCTCACATAAGTTTGTAATTAAAATTTAACAAACATTAAAAATTTTTTAGCATTTTGTAAATGAGCCTTGTTGAACTTATATTAATGACTAAAACCACAACCTTGGAGAAACAAATGACTGAGTTTTTAAAAGATGAACTAACCTGACACTTGTCTCCCAAATAGTAATGTCTCCCAGCATACTCCAAGTAATCAGATTTTTGAAGTTCTATTAAAAGAAAATGAAGATTCAAGCTCATCCGAACTGGTTCCTTTCCCATTTTACATCATTTAATTTTCTAATTTACTTTTACCAGTGTTTTTGACAATGCTACTACTATAAGGTAAAATCGGGGGGAGGGGTTCCTAAAGGGTCATTCTCTTACTCTTGATATTCATTTCTATGGTCAATTAAGGAGACCTACCAAAATAGTTTTGTGCTAAAGAACACAGGTGGAAATTGGGAGGTTGTAATCTTAGTTGGTCAAACACCAGTAAGGTACAATTTGAAGTAACACACCTTGATTAAAAAAAAAGAAGGAAAAAAAAAAACACTACACAGCTTCTTCAAAGTAACCTGTTATTTTTAACAACTTATTGTGTTCCACAGGGTCTTAACCTCATTCTAGATTGTTAGATTGTTAACTATACCTAAGTTAACCAAGGTTCAAAAGAAGTTGAATATGAAACATTAAAGGCTACCTTGAAAGCGAAGCTTTAAGGGCTAATTTGATCAACTTCTCTTGGAAGGAGATAAACAATTACCTATTTCAAAAGTTGGCAAACTTGCTCCTTAAGGAGCCAGAGAGCAAATATTTTAAGCTTTGTGGGTCATACGGGACCCTGTCACAACTACTCAATTCTGCCATAAAACTATTAATGGATAGTAAATTTGAATTTCATATTAATTTTCATGTCACAATATACTGTTCTTTTACATTTTTTTCTGCCATTTAAAAATATAAAGACCATTTTTAGCTCACAGGACCATACAAAAACAGCTGGCAGGGCGCCTGGCTGGCTCAGTCGGTTAAGCGACTGCCGTCGGCTCAGGTCATGATCCTGGAGTCGCGGGATCGAGTCCCACATCGGGCTCTGTGCTCAGCAGGGAGTCTGCTTCTCCCTCTGACCCTTCCCCCTCTCTCATGTGCTCTCTCTTTCTCGCTCTCTCAAATAAATAAAATCTTTAAAAAAACAAAACAAAAACAGCTGGCAGGCTGGATTTGGTCTGTAGGCCATAGTTTGCAGATGCCTGACCTATTCATTTATCAGTGAGGGTAGTCTTAACATTTTAAATTTAAGATAAGCTTATTTACAGTTACAAGTTTCAGGTCCTTTTTTAAGATTTTATTTATTTGACAGAGGGACACATCAGCGAGGGAACACAAGCAGGGGCAGAGGGAGAGGGAGAAGCAGGCTTCCCACTGAGCAGGGAGCCCAATGCAGGACTCAATCCCGGGATCCTGGGATCATGACCTGAGCCAAAGGCAGACGCTTAATGACTGAGCCACCCAGGAACCCCAACAAGTTTCAGGTACTCTTCAAGTTATCTAAATTATTTCCACACAGTCTTTACAAAACTGAAAGTCTTGGATAAACATCAGATTCTGAAAGATCCCTTCCCAATTCTAAACCTATTTGTTTCCTCTTTTGGATTTAAAACCATGAGAATATACAGGGCACCTAGGTGGCTCAGTCAGTTAAGCATCTGCCTTTGGCTCAGGTCATGATCCCAGGGTCCTGGGATCCAGCCCTACTTGAGTAGGGCTCCCTTCCCTGATCAGCGGGGAGCCTGCTTCTCCCACTCCCTCTGCCCCCTGCCCCCCTGCTGGTGTGTTCTCACTCTCTCAAATAAATAAAATCTCTTTAAAAAATAAAATAAAATCATGTATTGAGTAAGCTAAAAAGTACCAGGCTATTTTTTTTTTTATGACAGTACATTAAGAACATCTCATCAGAAACAATTTGCAAAATTTTTTCCCTGGATCTGTCAGGATTCAACAGTACGCCATTGATATTTCATTACCTTTTCTGCTGTCCAACCAAACATCAAATTCTACATTACGATAGATTTCTGGATCCAGGGCTTTGAGCACCTTATAGGGGAAGAGCATCTTTGATGGACTTTCTGGAGACTAAAACAAAAATAATCATGCTACAAATTCACCATCCTTAGCTTTAGTGTCCCTTCTATGAAAAAAATAAAAGTTCTTTTTTAAAGTATGTACATATACCTCCCTTTTTTATTAAAAAAAATAAATGCCTAAGTTTTATTGTGTATTTTAAAAATCAGGACATTAAAGAAGCAATATGCAAATAATATAAAAGGTTTTAGATGGCAGAAGGGAAATACTGTCTACAACTCAGGATACATCTCATATAAATCAATCCACACAGATTAAAGATTCAGTCAGGCTATTCAATAAATCTCATCTTGATATACAACACAGAGGTGTGACTGTTTCTGTACCCTAAAATCACCTGAAAAAAATCTGAAAATTTTATTTCATTTTGGTCAAAATCTGTTACAACTTCCAAAGAAATTACCTTGTTCTTCTGCTTTCCTAGAATTTCATCACATCTAATACTGTTACTGTTCCCAAATTACCAGCACTTGGGGCATACATAGATTATTATAATAGTATCTGCCCTATGTAGTGAGCCTCAAACTAAAGGTCTGCTTAATTTTAGTCCTATAAAGATGATAAAAATCTCTTCCCTTTCTCTAAACAGGATTATTACCTATTTTCTTTGAATAGGACAAGCATTACATTCTTTAATGACAAAAAGAAACCTTAGCATCAGAAGACTGATTACAAACTAAGTATCTACTAGATCTGTAACATTAACTTGAAAAAGAACAGTTTCTGAAAATTCTCAAGTGTTCAGAGTTTGCTTGGAAACAATCCAAACAATTCCATTAAGAATAAAAATTCAGAGAACATGAAGCACCCATTTTACATTTTCAAATTAAAACTTCCACAAAGGTAAACCTGAACTCCTCCCCCACACCATATAACTAGAACGGACCACCTGACGTTAACTTGTTTGTTATGATGCTGCAAGCCAAGATTATGAAAATTCTTTCCCTAGAAAATTTCAAACCTTTGCTTCTTCTGTTCCTTGACTGTACCCCTCTGGGATATTTTCAACACTGCAGCAGGCACCCAACTCTTCAGTCCTAATTGAAAGATTTAGAATAAAGAGCTTTATATAAATGCAGTAGCTAAATTTTAAGTCTAATGACTATACCACCACCTAGTGGTAAAGTAGCTCAGGTCTAAAAATGAGGCGAATACTTTACCCCAACATTTACATTTATGCTTCCTTTTTCTAAGTATGTGCTACAATATACTTAGCAGATTATCTCCTAAATTTCATACCTCCATCTCTTAAGATGGCTCTATGATCCTTGCCTCCTGGTGTGCACATCCATGTATGATTCCCCTATCTCAAGTTTGCTTCTAACCAAGACAGGTATGTTATTATAGTGCATAAGAATGTAGTGCCTGTATTGCTGACCTCTCTCTTGCTGACTATAAGGAAGCAAGCAATCATATTTCACCAAGCCCATGTGGCAAGGAGGGTTACCTCTGGCTGACAGCCACCAAAAAAAAAAAAATTTTTTTTCAGTCCCACAGCTGCAAGGAACTAAATGCTGCCAAAAACTACGTAAGTGGAAAAGTGGATCCTTCCTCAGTCAAAACTTGAAATAAGAACTCAATCCTGGCCAACAACCTCATTGCAGTCCTGTTGAGACCCTAAGCTGAAGACCCAGCTAAACTGTGCCCAGATTCCCAACCCATATAATTGTGAGATAAGTGTATATTAAGTTGCAAAATCTGTGGTAATACGGTCACAGTCACGCAGCAATAAGTAATACATCTTGCCTTTTTACTACTATAGTTTCCATAAAGCCTGACGTCCTTAGGACAAGTCACCAGTAAAGAATAAAGCAACTTCTACCCCTGCATTCCCAAAAAAGTTTTAAAAACCACTCCTTGGGGCGCCTGGGTGGCTCAGTCGTTAAGCATCTGCCTTCGGCTCAGGTCATGGTCCCAGGGTCCTGGGATCGAGCCCCACGTCTGGCTCCCTGCTCAGCAGGAAGCCTGCTTCTCCCTCTCCCA